TATCCAACTTCAGTGAGCATGCCACTTTTTAAAGTGACTGAAGTTTTTTCCCCCTTAATTACTGCCTGCTTCAACTCCTGGCTGCCATAAGTGATATAACCTACTCTTTGAGCAGTTAGACAGTTTTCTTCAGCCTAACCAATGTCACAGATGGTAAGTGGCAGAGCTAGAACTCTTAACTGTTTTGCTATACCACTGTTAGAGAAGGACGTGCAATTATATATCAAAATTCTCTTATCATTATTATAGGGATTAAGACCATTTTCTAGTCTCAAAATCCCTGGGTTCAATTCTGCCACTGGTTAGCTGAGTAACCCTGGACATATAATATCACTTATTTCCTCATCTATAATGCGGCATAATAGTCAATATCTCTAAAGGTTGCTAGAGGATTCAAAGAGATGATGCATTATAAGCACCTAGTATATGCCAGGCACCATCCCAAGCACTCAAAAGTTAACTATTACCTCCTAAGCCACTTCAGAAGGGTTTTAATCTCTTACAGAGTTATATACACTCTAGAACTTGTTTCGAAAAGAATGAACCTGTTCAAGAAAAAATCCTAGAGACATTAATACAATCCCAAAACTAGAGACTTGATAACCTCATCCTTCATGGTGCATCTTTCCCTTGGGAATCCTCTTAAAAAGATATTAAAGGACTTCCCTCATTTATAGAAATTATTTCACCTATGCCAGCATTCTATGCCGATATTTAAGACTACCTCTGGGGAGGTCACAGTGAATGAGTAGACAAAAGGAGGTGAAGAATCCCAAGCAGCAAGGCAAAGCAGGCTATAGTTTCAGCCAAGTACAGGGAATGCCTTTGGTGTGACTGGAGGCAAGTCCACAAGCATACTTGAAGGCAAGACAGCCTAATATCCTTGGTTGCTGAAGCCAGAGCCCAATCCTAGTGCTTGGCAATACAAGCTTGCTTAAGCTCTTGAGTTTCCATATCCTAAATGTAAGGACAGCCTCCAGCTGTCCCCATGATTTAAAAATTGATCACCTGATTTTCTAGAACTGAAAACTTAAGTACTGAGAAGCTATTTAGGGATTGTATAGGCAGATGTAATTACAGATGTATTTTAGCCTCCATCATAACAGAACAAGCAGCTGGAGACAGAGGCTAGAGTAATTTACATTCAGTGACATCACATGAAAGAGGCAGCTGTACTAACAGGAATAACACACAGGACCTACAGAACCTGTGTAGATGATCAGGGTTTTCATTTCCTGCACAGATGGGTGACAATTACTTAACACGGTGCTCAGCCTTGAGAAAACACCTGGTATTCAAGGACATTTTCATATTGAAACACTAAATTGAATGGTTAGAAATAAAAATCTTTTTCTGCAAAACCAAAGCAAGACTTCTATTAAATGCAGAGGGTTGTCCATAATTGCGATTGAAACAATCAGATGACAGATGCCTGCACACCATTTCCCTGGGCCTTGTAACACCAAAATGTGTGTGGTTCCTGGCTTCTCTACTAGGTATGCTTCTGAAGCAGACACAAAATAGGGACAGAACTGTAGGCAGAAGGTAATGCTGCCTCCTCCAGGAATATTGTATGGCATCAGTTAAATTCTAATCTTCTAAGAATTAAATCTTTACCCTGTGATTTCTGAAGTTCATTAAGGGGCAGGAAGACTGGCTTGTTTACCCCCTAATCAGTTGTTGGAAGACAATATCCTTGTCTTCCTAGAGCTGTAGTCTAACGCTGTGATATACACAAAACTATATACCCTCAAGAAGTTTAACATTACATTGCCTGAACCACACTTTATTGTAAAACCACTGGTCAAGGAGGAAGAACACTGGACCTGGTGAGTTGGATTATGATATTAAATTGTCACTATCTACTCAGGCTCTAGTTTCCAAACCTGTAAAATAGAGAAACGAGATAGCTTTGAGCTGCGATTTCCAAATTTTGGTGAAAAACAAAACAATATCCCGAGTTTTCTGTAATTGCAACCCAAACTTAATTCCACCTGCCCACAAATCAGGGATCCACGTTTATCAAACAATGGTTGTAAACACATAGGCAACACTGCCACCCAGTGATCTGTCAACTCTTAAGAAAGGAATGATCCTTTAACAGAACATCATGGAATTTTCCTATTCCCTATTTTTAAAGGTCTCAAATCTGTTAAAACAAAACAAAAACAAAAACACAGAACTGTGAACTCTATATACCATTTCTAACTCCATATCTGAACCTTTTTGAAGACTCAACCACCATCACCATCTGAATACTGGCAATCATTCACCACTGCCAATCAATGCTATTGACAATAGCAGTGAACTGCTAAGTAGAGTGGAAAGCATTCTATGGCTTCTTTAATTTTTTTGTGAGGAAGATCAGCCCTGAGCTAACATCTATTGCCAAACCTCCTCCTTTTTTTTCCCCAAAGCCCCAGTAGACAGTTGTATGTCACAGCTGCACATCCTTCTAGTTGCTGTATGTGGGACACGGCCTCAGCATGGCCGGAGAAGCGGTGCGTGGGTGCACGGCCGGGATCCGAACTCGGGCCGCCAGTAGCGGAGCGCATGCACTTAACCACTAAGCCACAGGGCCGGTCCTCTATGGGTTTTAGAATGGCAAAACATAGTCTGCCTATTTTGGAAATAGCTAATTCATTTATGAAACTTATTTTTAACCCAACATAATCATCTCTTCAGAATCAATTTAAGCCTTTCACTGATATGAATGCTGCTTCAAACACAATTTAGAAGAAAGCAAAGAGGTAGGTGATTTCATTTACTTAAGTGCAGGAACACAAATATCTCAAAAAGTCCAAAACACAAGTTTTATTGAAAACAATAAAATACAGAAACACCAGATTCTCATTTTAAAGTAAAATTGACAGTATATTCCAAAACTTCCCTAGTACTGCACCATTCTTGTCACTATCAGAAAAACAAAACCGAGTTCCAGATCCAAAATAATTAATGAAACTGCTGGTCAAAATTATTCTCACAGCTCTAGCCCTCATACTAGTTATTTTTCTAAATTTTATATTCACACCTTTTCAAGAATGAGTAGCAGCTGTTTTATTTTTTTAATTTGAGTAATTAATATTTGTGAGAACTGGACTTTCTTCATATTAATTAAAAAAAACAAAACCACACACACCCTACTCAAACTCAGAGAAAATATACATTTGTTCATTAAAGCTCACCTGCTTTAGATAATTTTTTCTCTTCACACATTAGCACAGTAAGCCAATGTTTGATCCATGCTGCAAAAGCTGTACAAAATGAAAAGACCTGTTAATTCCCTAGGGAAACCTTAAGGCGAAAGCAAAAGCCTTACACTACAAAAGGAAAACAAAGCAGAGGCGTGGGGACCGTGGAGACGGACGGCTCAGATGAATAAGCACCACAAGGATGAAGACAAGTTTTGTACAAACATATGCAAGAAGGTAAAGTTCAAAAAGGAGCACTGGACATCTATTTTCCTGCAGAAATAATTATCGTGTCAGAGAAATTTGGATTTTAATGAACGGAATCTTAATTAACTCTCCTGTGTTTACCAGTGGTATCAGAGCCTTGTTTGGGGGCTCCTCTTTCCTCCTTTTCATCGTAGAGACCTTTGATCAGAGGCCTCCTCCACACTTACTATAGAAGACAATCAGTGTGTTTGGGTCCTTCTTTGGAAAGCTGTCACCTCCCCTTCCACACTAACACTGGGACTAACTCCAAATTCTAGGCAGTCACTTCATGTTTTTGAGTTGTACCAGAACAAATTTTTTAGCATGGAGATTTCTTTAAGGCTACAAACTTTACAAGTTGGTCCCATTAAACAATAACCTAAAGGCAGGAGTTTTTCAAACGGCATGAATCAAACACTTGCACATTTCAACAGAATACAGTTTACATTCATCTCTAAATCTGAGATTAAGAAACTATTAGCTGGTTTCGAACTGGTTTCAATACTGGTTTGAAGTTTGAATAATTTTACTGTGTAGACATTAAATATTTTGTTTAAATATTAAACATTAAATCATTTCCTGACTATCCAGACAGAAATAGCGAAAGCAGGAACAACAGACAGGAGAAGCAACCGTCCAATTAACAGACTTGTGACTTCTATGCCGTCTGTAACAAAGGGAGGGATTTCAGCACAGGTTTCAAAAATGCCTGGGAGCTGGTTTCTAAAAAGTCACCTCTACTTGGCATTATATTTTTTTTCTACACAAGGTATCCGATTCCTACAAAGGGGAAAGAAATCCAGAAAACAAAACAAAAAGAACTAAGGTGGCCTCCTGTTGTGTGATGAATGAGTGTTTAACAGTATTACCCTATTACACTCATTAGTTATAGTGGATATCCTGTAGCACTAAAGGAATTGTCATTTTACTTTGCACTACTGAGTCCTTGCCACACAGAAGAGCTCTTCCTGAGAAATAAAAAACTTCAACCCTGGTTATCCCCAAAGGACACCCTGAGCCTGGTGTAGGTCCTCAAGATGAAGACTTCCTGCTAGCAAGAAGCTATTCTCTACTTTTAGTCTTACTGCACAATAGTTGAAGCACCAGGCAAATTGGCTATTTCAATAAATCTCAATGTCACTTGCCCATATATTGTTAATTACTCAGTCATTGTTTTCTAAATTAACATTAAAAAATGTTACTGAAACACAACTGGGCTTATCAATTATGCAAGGGAAGCCAAGGAGCAACAGTAGCACAAGGCAAAAAAGCCTCAAAGGAAAACCCTTTTCTTTGTATTTTCATTGCATTTTCAGAGGCAAAGAAGTGAGCCACAATGCTACTGGCTCTTTAATCGAAATAGCTACACTGAATTGACAAGTAATATACAAGTTTCAGAGCCTCTGTTAAATTTCTTGGCAATAGGATTAAGCTACTGCTTTCTTCCCTCCTTCTCCCCATATAGTCACCACCGTAAACAGAGCTCATATCTACAGAAGAAGTTGTGACTCAGTAGTCAGGGTACAGTCATAGTAGGAGCAACCTTCCTTAATGCATCTTTTCCAACTCAAGTGTATGAACAGGCTCCAAGTATCTGAATGGTTTAGACAACATGACAGATGACTGAAGTCACCCTTACACATACAGCTTCTATACTTGCCTTTGCAGACTGTAATCTCACATTCCTTTAATAGGCCCCTTACAAAACTGCTTTTCCTCTGAGAGAAGCTTCCTTGGCAAAAAGCTGAATTCAAGAAATGGCTACCCAAAATGAGAGTCCCACCCCAATTCACAGGTGGAGATATTATTACACCCGTTTCATAAAACTTTCAAGTCTCTATACTATACAAAAGTAGGCTCACGACTGAAGACATAAGCCTTCTAAAATTTGACAACTTTAGTGTAGAAATTGGTTTCTAGAGTTCCATCTCTTCTTCTGTGCAAGCAGCTGTCTCCAAACTATCGTAAACAGGCATCCCTGTTTGCTGAGGTTCCAAGAACAGTTCAGTTCTCTGAGGGAAGGCAGTGCCAGCAGCTGCATGCTTAGTTTGGCTCTCTCCTGTGTAGTTCTTAGCATTAGATGACGGCTTTGGCTTATCAGAAAGGAGTTCAGGGAGAGGTTTCCAGAGTACAAGCTCCATGGAAGGACGGCTCCTAAGACATAAAATATATATTTTTATCAAAAATTTTAGGATATGAAAATAAAAGATATATGTTGAAAAGCTAATGTTTGCTACCTAATATCTAGAGTTAAGAAGTGATGGCATCAAAAGGAGATTTTGGATAATCCAAATTAACCTTTAGAAAGGCCACTCAAATACATAGAATCTTACAGTTCTGCATGCACTTGTAACCAAACCAACAAGTTGTACTCATACTGTGATTAGAATATAAATATCCAATATGAAAAATAGAGGCCCTTAATTTAACATTTTTTTAAATTGTGGTTAATATTAGCAGATGTGGACTACTATCTTGTAGTAAACTATTATAAATGAAAATGAAACATTGGACAAACACATGAAAAGTATCTCGGTATGTCTTCTGCTTAGTAGAGCTATGAAGTATAACACTTTTTTCAGTAAGCCAAAATGATTATGTCGCCAATGCCTGTGCCTGCCCCGGAGCCGTCCCTCATCTGGTAATGGTCTGATGATTTCTAGAGCCCAAAGGCAAGTAAGGCAAAATAAAACACAAACAATGAAGAATACCTCCCAAAGGCTAGCTTCTGGAAAACAACCAAGAGGAGAAAAGTGTTATATTTTAGGCTGGAGGACAATGTGACCTGCTTACTCTTGGCTAAACTATTTACCCACCCTCAGGGCTGGACAGTTAATTATAAGCTCAAGCTAGGGGGCTAGTTCAAAATTCCATGACCTAACATCAAGCAGCAGCTGAACCCACTCTGGCGGCAATAATGGCGCATCACTGGGACTGGTGTCCTAAGAGAATTTTTCAGATCTCTGACACATTAAGTCTCAAGTCTTTTCTAGACAACACCTAAATGGCACTTTATAACTTGCCTACTGTTTTACACAGTGGATAATGATGACCTGAGACCATCTAAACTCAAGGACCACAAGAATGACAGGGCTGTCATTAGTTCTCATGTTGTTAGGCCCCGGGCTGCTTTGCTTTTTAGGTTCTTAAGTTTGCTTTCCAGTTTCCTCTCTTGTCCTCACACTATACTATCACTACTTGCTACTATGAGTTAGTTTGTTCTGCTTTCACTTGCTGTTTCTGTATTTCTACTCTGATGACCTAGGAGAGCAGATAACTGAGCTCATTAAACTGTGTCTAAAATAAGAGCAAAATGGCTCTTAGAGCTAAAGGCCTGAAGGGCTATACATTATGAGACAAGAACATGAGCTGTGGTTTGTGGCCTTTGTGATAACTATTTTGATGGCTGGGAGACTTTTGTTTGTTTCTTAGGTCTCAATGTTGTTCCGGGATAACTGAGAAAGCCAGGTAAACAAGAGGTTTTAAAACGTGGTTCCTGTAGCCTATCACAAGAATATAAGAGAATGGGCTCTTTCTTGCCAAACCTCCCATTCCCAAATATCAGACTATAGAGCATTTCAGGAATTCAAATGAATCCAGGGGTAAGTAGGCAAGGAAGCCACTAGTGTGTACTTCAAATGCCTGCTTGCACAGCCTTTTGCTCACCTCCAGTGAACTAAGAAAAGGTCTGTCTCCATCCTGGGCTAAATACAAAACCTACTACGCTCTCCCTTGGCTGGTGATCAGGAGATGAAGAGATGGTTAGGATAGGACAGGCAGTGTCTAGAGACACCGAGTTTTCCCTCCAAGATCATAATTAAACAGAAACCAGGAACCAAAGCTTACATGGACTCAATCATTTTCTTTGTAAAGACTTCATCAAATTCCCTCTTCAAACCTGTTTTCATGGTATCAGAAAGGACAAGACTGGGGAGATGGTTAATATTTCTGTCAGCTTCAACTTCTTCATCTTCATCAATTATCCTAAATAAAGGCAACAAAAACAGAAAAATTACTTAGTCAAGCTACTATATAGTTTAGTCATTGGACAAAATTTAAAAAATAAAAACGATAAAAGCAACAGGTGCTACAGAAAAAGATCAAATATGAGGCTATACCCTGAGTGAAAAAAGTATACACAGAAGAGTTATTCAACATTTCATTTAACAAAAGTTTTACATTAGATGCAATCAAATTCAAAGAACGTGTCCCTGAAAACTCCCATAAACCAAAAATTAGTATTCAGATAGTAAGTAAAAATATTTAGTACAGTTCTATGAGAAGAGCTTACTTTAATATTTATTTTTTTAAAGCTATTTTTTTTTAAATTTTTTATTTTATTTTTTCCCCCAAAGCCCCAGTAGACAGTTGTACGTCATAGATGCACATCCTTCTAGTTGCTGTACGTGGGACGCGGCCTCAGCATGGCCGGAGAAGCAGTGCGTCGGTGCACGCCCGGGATCTGAACCCGGGCTGCCAGCAGCAAAGCACGCGCACTTAACCGCTAAGCCACGGGGCCAGCCCTACTTTAATATTTAATGTGTACATTTTGAGCTCCCTGTTCTGCACAGTTTGAGATGCTGAGGACTGAAGTTATCACCAAATGACGGATTAGACTAGCAATGAAGAGTAGAGATGTTACATGAGAACAGCAACAAGCCAGCTATATACACTGCCCATTTACCTGTCCTCAATTTCCCGAAGCCTCCTTCGGGCAACTTCGCACTGTGGTTCTCCAGTTGTCTGATCCATTTCTTCACAAATAACATCTAACATGCCAGATGCAGAAAGGCCACTAGTGCATGGATTTACTCCTTGACCCTCTATTTCCTGATGTGCACAAAGAATCCAGTCATTAGGACCAGCACAGAGCCCTGCTTCAGTAAGCCTTTTCTTTCTTACTGGACAACTGAAAAAAAAAAAAAAAAAAAAATTCAATGAAAATCCTAATGTAAATGAAATACATATCATCCCTATTTTTAGGCAAATTGAAAAAAACTAATTTTTGACAGTGTGATTACAAGATAGAAAATCATGTATTTTCTTTTCTCTCATTTTTACAGCCTCCTTGAGATGTTTTCTTCTACTGCTCTCTGCCAAATTAGGCTGCATCTACAAGATTTTGCCTTTTCAGATTAGAAGTGTTCAGTGTGGGAACTTAAAGTCATTCCTATTTATTTGAGTCTGGATAGGTCAAGTGGGAAGAAAAAAATCACAAAGCAGCAATTCAGTGCCAGCCATTTTTCGTCATACTGCTGCTGCTCCATTAAACTGGTCATACAGGCAAGTGGTCTGCAGGCATCCTATATTCTCTTACAGAAAAAATATTTGCCTCATCAGGTCTCTTCCAAGTACTACAAGGTGCAGATGATATTGCTGATTTCTTGGTCCTCTCCCAAAACGTCCCACTGTCATTTGGCTCTATGAGTCCCTGACTAATAATGGGGTACACTTTTCTCTTACCTTGCAACTAAAACTATCTTCAATTCCTAGAAAAATTTGTATTTCATAGACACCTTAGAGTTCATCAAATACAATTTCTTTGTCGTGCAGATTTAGAAACCAGGACCTAGAAAAGCTAAAGTGCCCCTACAGAGTGTCACATAGAGTAGAGCTGCATGTTGGGCACCAGACCCCAGAGCTCCCGAATCCTACCTCTATGCCATTCTCACTAAAACCTCTATCCTGCTTAGGGAAGTTCAACTGTTCAAGCTCTTACCATGAACTAGTACCTGCAAACACTTATGACATGCCCAGTTTAGTTGAAAGCTGTCTGAAGCAAGTGAGACAACTGGCTCTGTTTTATTTAAACATTTAGACCAAAAGTACTTTATTGCCTGGGCATCAGCAAGTGCACTCGCAAAACCAGAACACAGCTCTGCAACCAAAAAAATTCACTAATGGCCACAATAGGTTCTGATTCTCTACACTGAGGGTCAAAGGAAGCAGCATGTGTTTTGTAAGGAGAAATTTCTATTCCATGTTAAGACTACGAAAATCAACATTAAAGTCTGGCAATCTGACAAGTAATTATGCTCTCTTGAATCTAGATTTTTGATTGGAATTAACTATTAAATCATATGTTTAGTTTATAATTAGCTTTAATTCAAAGTATTAAGAATGCCTAGCTATACATCAAATATTTCTGTAACACTTGCATAGTTTTAAAGTATGTGATGTTTGGAAAGCAGAAGAAAGTTATACACATAAGAAACCAGCTAAGAAAGAGCAGAAATAAATCTAGAGGGGAACAGTTAATTTCCTAGCACACCTAACAATTCAACTATTTAATGTAACTGTGTGTAAGAGCTGGGTTCTGATCTCTGACCTCCAACATGATTTGGACTAACTTATTTCATGCTTGTAGGTCCATTTTGCAAATAATTAGAGATCAATGATGATTAAGTCCCAAAGAAAATGTGATATAAAGTACTGATAAGAGCTATGGAAGTGGCAGCTGGGAAGCACACTTCTGGGCATCAGACATCCAAATGTCAAGTCCCTCATCCTCACAGAGCTTCAATCTCTCCATCTGTAAATTAAAGGTGGTTAACTTTTTAAGCCAATAGTTTTTACACTTCAAATTTTTTATTTTTAACACTGGAACTCTTTATTCAATAACCTCTTAAAGAGAACCCCAAAAGATAATAGCAAAAAGGTCCCTGGGTATCCACAGCAATCCCAAGGCAATAAAGAACATATTGTCTGGTCCAGTGGTTTTTAAACTAAGGCAACTTTCAGAGCCAGCCCTGGTGGCCTAGTGGTTAAGTTTGGCACGCTTCACTTTGGCAGCCTGGGTTCAGTTCCTGGGCACAGACCTACACCACCGTCTGTCAGTGGCCATGCTGTGGCGGTGGCTCACATACAAAAAGAGGAAGATTGGCAACAGATGTTAGCTCAAGGCGAATCTTCCTCAGCAAAACACAACAAAACAAAACACTAAGGCACCTTTCAAATCTACTGTCTTATTAGTCTATGTATCAACAAGGTTAGAAAATCCAAAGTTTCTGCTGTCCAAAAAAAATCAAACACAAAGCTAAAACACAAATGACCAATTTTGGGAAGACACTTATAACACACATAATAAACTGATTTCTTTAATAAATATTTCTTACAGATTGACAAGACCAATAAGCCAATAAAAAACCTGCAGAAACATGAACAATTCACACAAAATTAAACACAAATGGCTTAAATCAAAAGATGTTCAACATCACCTATAATTTACAAAACACAAATTAAAACACTGATCTACTTTCTTTTAAACTATAAACTCTTACGCTCATAGAAGTACAATGAATTATTCATTATTTAATGAATAATTACAAAACATCCATGAAAATAATATTCAAAATACAGACTGCTGCCAGTATCCCCAAATGATACTCTATTTCCTCCTCCCTACACATAAACACTGTCTTTTATGGATATTAGTCAAAAAAAAAAAATTATCACACGTGCAGATATGCATCCCTAAACAATATTTAGTTTTGCCTGGTTTTGAACCTTACATTTAGGGAATTATACTGCACACATTCTTGTGACGTTTCTTTTGCTCATATTATGTTTATAAGACACATCCATGTTGACAGGTGTAATTCATTTTTTTTTTGCTGAACAGAACTCCATTGTATGAATCTATAATTTACTTTATTCCTTTTACCATTGAGGGACATCTGGGTTGTTTCCAGTTTTGAGCTATTACGAGCAAGGATGCTATGAACTTTCTTGTACGTGTCTCCCAATGTCTGTGTGTACATACTCAAGAGGGGAACTGGTGGGTAAAAGGGTATATGTGCCTTCAAATTATTAGATAATGCCAAACTGTTTTCCAAGTGCTTGTACCAATTTACATCCTCAGCCATACTGTGTGCGAGTTCCTGGTGTTCCACGACCGCTCCAATATCTGGTAGTAGAGTAAGTAGCTCATTGTACCTTTAATATACATTTCCCTAAAGACTGATGAGATTGAACATCTTTTCATTTGGCTGGTCATTTGGAAATCATCTTCGGGGAATTCTTTTACTCATCTTTCTCACAGACTATCTATGAGATGCAACTTTTTACCTATCAAATAAGTCAAAAAGTTTGAAAATACAGCTCCGGTAAGATGCAGAAAGAGAAATTCCCACTGTTAAAAGAAATAAAAATTGGCAAAACTCTTGTTCAAAATTTAAGACGCATACACTGTTTTTTCTGTGTGTGAGGAAGATTAGCCCTGAGCTAACATCCGTGCCCATCTTCCTCTATATTATATGGGACGCCGCCATATCATGGTCTGACAAGCGGTGCGCCAGTGCACGCCCGGGGTCCGGGCCTGCGAAACCCGGGCCGCCGGAGCGGAGCGCGCGCACTTAACAGCTGCGCCACCGGCCGGCCCCTGAAATGCATACACTTTAAAGACCCAGCAATTCCCCATCAAGGAATCCATTCACCTACTTGCATAACGGTCATGGTTAGTAATAGCAAAACATTAGCAATAACTTAGAAATCCATCAATAGAAGACTGGTTAATTATCTATGCCTAGCCTTACAACAGAATTCCATTCAACTATTGAAAAGGAAATCAGGTAGAACTCTATGTACCCACATGCAACAAGCTACAGGAAGTAAAATGAAAAGACCAATGTGTTACAGTGTGAACAGTATCTTCCCACTAATGTAAAAAACCAGAGGTATATACAGTCATAACCTCGTAGGTTTTCTGGTTATCTTCCAAAGGGGAACGGGCAACAGGCGTGAGCTCTGGGGAGGACTGTGAGCACCGAGTGTAAGACTTCTCAATATGCATCCTTTCGCACATTTGGAATTTTTACTTTGTGCATGTAATAATACTCACACGGCTCAAAATTCAAACGTTCAGAATTGGTTCTAGAGTGGAAAGTTTCCCTCTGACCTGCCAGCCACCCAGTTACTTTCCCTAAAAGGTAACCGCGTTGTCAGTTCCTTGCGCCTCCTTTCAGGGACACCTGTTTCACCTTCCCACTTAAAACAAGTAGTTGAGAATACAAAATAGCTTAAATTAAGTGACCATAAAGTGAATAAATGGCACCTGAAACTTACTCATCCTCCTCCTCCTCCTCCCGCTTGTGTTTCTTTCTACCGCGACCTGAAACACTGTTGAAACAAACAAAAATCAGTCAACTGAGAAACGGCCTGGGCTTGCGCTCGCGGCGTCCGCTCTTTCTTGCTCCAATAACCTTGCCCACCCCACACGGACTAGCTGTCCCCGTCCTCGCCGAGTGAGACGGATACACAAGTCACAAGGTCAGTCAGGTAAACGCTGCTGCTCCTGACACAACTAGAGGCTGAATCTCAACTTCTCCTTTGGTCCAGGTGGAGGGAGCTAAGCGTGGGGGCGCCTACGGCGGGCGAGCGTCCTCGGGCAGGCACTGCGCTAAGCACTCGACTCCCGCGCTCCCACTAGGAGGACCCAGCGCTGTCCCACTCCGCCGATGAGGAAACTGAGCGTCCGAGCGGCGCTGGAAGTTGTCAGCAGCAGCGGCCGCGCCGCGGGGACATCCAGGCTCCGGGCGGCCGGGCTCCGATCCCCGCACGAGCCGGCGCGCCTGGGCACGTCTCCTCACTTCCCGCAGGCGCCGGCCGGCCCAGGTGCGAGCCCGACTCGGCGGCTGCGCGCCCTCCGCCGGCTTACAGTTAACGTCTCTGGGGATCAGTTTCCTTACCGGTACACCGGGGCTGAGAGGGTCGTGGGGAGGGAGGTTAAGGAGCCCGCTCGCCCGCCGCCCCGCGCCCGCCGGGCTCCTCACCGTCCGCGCGCCGCGCTCCCGCCGGCGCTGCTCGGGGCGGCGCGGGGTCCCGGCCGCGGGACCAGCTCGGCGCCGTCCGCCCCCGGCGGGAAGGCCCGGCCGGAGAAAGCCGGTGGCGGCTGCAGGAAGTCCGAGCTGCCGCTCAGGGGGAGGCCGCTGAAGGGCCGGCCGAGCGCGGCCATGGCCGGGGAGACGAGGAGGCTGTGCCCGCGCCCCCGACCACCCGCGTCCCCAGGCCCAGCAGCTGCGGCCACAGCGACTGCCAAGAGGCGCCCGCCTCCGAGCCCGCTCTCGACCCCACGTCACGCCTTCTAGAACCCTCCACCCCGGGCCACCCAGGGGCACGCCGGGATTTGTTGTGTGTGGAGAGCTGCTGCCGCGAGGGATGCCGGGAGTTGCAGTCTTTGCAGACTACAAACAAGATGGCTGCCTCGGCCTAGCCGCGGGGCTTGAGGACGGCTCTGGTGGGCCTAGAACGTGACCAGGTTCGAATACTCACTCCGCAAGTTATGTAAACCTCCGTACCTCACTTTTCTCAGTAGTAAAACCCGATAATAACAGTACCTACTTCATAGAGTTGATGGGAGAAGTAAATGAATTAAATCATCTAGAGCCTTTAGAAAACTGCTTGGCACATAGTACACACTCATTAAAGATCAGCTATTAATTCCTTCTATGTTTTAATATAAGTTGATGATGCCTTAGAGGGAACAGCATGGAGGATCAGTGAAAACCTCAGAGCGCTTCTGAGAGGTACTGGTAAGCCTTCCAGCCTCTACCTGGGGCATCCAGCGATATAGGCTTGTCAGAGGGGCTAGCAAAGATGGTCGACTCCATTTTTCCCTTCTCAGGGTATACCCTCATTCAGTTTGAGTTCTTTATGCCAACATCAATGCCCTTCAGCCAAAAACCACCAAGAGCACACCTATAATTGAACAAAGATGGATTTACTGACTGCTTGCAGTGAGGGAGTATCCCAGTAAGAGGGTGTTAGAAAAGGCTTCTTATAGGATTTGGGAGTGTCTTAGGTGATTTGGGGGAAGGTTGAAGGAAGCAGGACTTTGCTCTGGAATTAATACTGTCAGGAAGCAGAGATAATTCTATGATTATTTTAGTCCATCTTTTCGAGAAGATGGGAGGAATGAAGGGAGGCTAAACCTATAATTGGTAGGGAAGCAATAGTCCTTCCTATTAGCCAGGATAGGGGAATGTTTGGTCATTTTTGTGGTTTGGACAATGCTCACATTTTTGTCTTGTCTTCAGACATGAATATGAAGTGGTTTTTTTGTGTGTGTGTGTGAGGAAGATTAGCCCTGAGTTAACATCCATGCTAATCCTCCTCTTTTTTTTTTTTTTTTTTGCTGAGGAAGACTGGCTCTGAGCTAACATCTATTGCCAATCCTCCTCCTTTGTTTTTCCCCATAGCCCCAGTAGATAGTTGTATGTCATAGTTGCACATCCTTCTAGTTGCTGTATGTGGGATGCGGCCTCAGCATGGCCGGACAAGCGGTGCGTTGGTGCGCGCCCGGGATCCGAACCCAGGCTGCCAGTAGCGGAGCACGCGCACTTAACCGCTAAGCCACGGGGCCGGCCCAGAAGTGGTTTTGTTTTTATCTTGATCCATCGAAGTCACATCTTAGTCCCTGTTTGATACTGACATTCTGTGAAATTGTTTAATAGGAGGACACCAAGTGTTACCTGACAGTATAAGGCCAGTTTCAGCTGTCAGAAGATGCTTTTCTCTTTCTAACCAAAAACCTAAGCATCATCATTGATGTCTCTTTTTTGTTCAGCCCCGTATTTAATCAGTTAGCAAGTCCAATGGGCTTTACTTGTGACACGCTTCCAGATTCTCCTCATTTTTCTCCATCTCCATTGCCCTCATTATGGTCTAAGAAAAAATGAATGAACCCCTTTTGCCTAATGTAATATAATAGATTAGGTTTAAGTTTTCTTTGTGGCATTTACAATCCATTTTTGCCTAAGTTAACATCCCTTACTTACCTCAACTGGATATAAAAGATAGTCTCCTAGGTCATTTCAATCCAGAGTTGATGCTAATGAATGAGATGACTCCAGATGGGGGCTGGTCACGAGAAAGACTATGTGATTAAAAGATTAGCGCTTTGAGCTATCCCAGCCTCTAGGGAAGGGAGGGAGGCTGAAGCTTGAATTCAACTCCTTGGCCAAACATTTCAGTTAATAATATTTACATAATAAAACCCCAGTAAAAACTCTGGACACCAAAACTCAGTGGCTTCCAAATTGGTGAACACATCAATGTGCTGGGAGGGTAATGTGCCCTGATTCCATGGGGAGAGGGCATGGAAGGTCTGCGTTCAGGACCCTCCCAGGTCTTGCACTATGTGTCTCTTCATTTGTATCCTTTATCATACAATTGTAATCATAAATATAACTTTTTCTTGAATTCTGTGAATCATTCTACTGAATTGTTGAACGTAAGAGGGGTCATGGGAACCTCCTGGATTTATAGCCAGTCTAAGTATGGATGACCTGGGGACCCCATTTGAGGTTAGCATCTGAAATAAGGGCAATCTTTTTGTGTGTGTGTGAGGAAGATCAGCCCTGAGCTAACATCCATGCCAATCCTCCTCTTTTTGCTGAGGAAGACCGGCCCTGAGCTAACATCTATTGCCAATCCTCCTTTTTTTTCCCCTTCTTCTCCCCAAAGCCCCAGTAGATGGTTGTATGTCATAGTTGGCACATCCTTCTAGTTGCTTTAATGTGGATCTCCGCCTCAGCATGGCCTGACAAGCAGTGCGTCAGTGTGCGCCTGTGATCTGAACCTGGGCCGCCAACAGTGGAGCGCACGCATTTAACCGCTAAGCCACGGGCTGGCCCCTGAAACGAGGGCAATCTTGATGGACTTAAACCTGTGCCCTCAAACCTGTGGAGTCTGACGCTAACTGCAGGTGGTTAGCATCAGAATTACACTGCAGTATTGCACTGGTGTCAGAATAGCCAGGGACCCAAAATTAGCCAAACAATCTTTGAAAAGAAGAACGAAGTGGACTCAAACTTTCTGTGATGAGAAAAACAACTTTTGTTTTTCTGAGTTGCTGCCTAGGCATTCTACAGTATGATAACTCTGCTCACACCCCGAATCTGGACATTTAGGTAAGGACCTGAACTTAAGATTCCTGCCATAAGTTCCCACTTTGCTTTTCCTGGGGCACATTTTTAAATAACTACTTGGAGTTAAGCCCGAGAAAAGTTGGCGACCTCTGCCCCAACACCCTTATAAATAATAGGTGGTTGCTATGCGGCTCTCTATCTCCTGCTTGCTAGTGACCTGGGAATGAGCCGTTCTCCTGGCTCATTGTGCCAAGCAGTTCCCCCCTGCAACCCCCGGCCTGACTTCTGCGATTTGTGAGCAATAAATTTTTTGACTTTACTTCCTTTGTGTGGGCGTATTGAAACTGTGCCTTCAATCAAAATGACCCCATGAGTTTCACTTCTCCAAAGTGGGAGCTCAGACACTGAGGGAGCTACCTGCCGACCCAATGTGGGTGGCTTGTGCCTCCTCATTCAGCAGGTCATAATCTGCATATTCTGAATTCAGTACACTTGCTCCAGCTTCTCAACACACTTTCCAACTTCAAAACAGTGCAGTATTGGCATAAGGATAGACATATAGATCAAGGGAATCGAATTACGCATTCCAAATATACCCTCACACTCATAATCAATTGATTTTTAACAAGGGTGCTAAGACGATTCATCGAAGGAAAGGAATAGACTTCAACAAATGATGTTGGACAATTGGATAGCCACATGCAAAAGAATGAGGTTGGACCCCTGTCTCACACCATATACAAAATTTAACTCAAAATGGATTATTGACCTAAAAATATAAAACTCTTAGAAGAAAATACAGGGGTAAATATTTGTGGCCTTGGGTTAGGTAATGGTTTCTTAGATATGACACCAAAAGCATATAAGTAATAAAAGACAAGATTGATAAGTTGGGATTCATCAAAATTAAAAACTTTTGTGGTTCAAAGGATATCATCAAGAAAGTAAAAAGATAACTCAAAAAATAGAAGAAAATATTTGCAAATCATATATCCAATATGGGACTTTTATCTAGAATATATTAAAATTCTTACAACTCAATAATAAAAAGACAACCTACTTTTAAAAGGGGCAAAGGATGTGACTAGACATTTCTTCAAAAAAGATTGACAAATGGCTAGTAAATAACATGAAAATATGCTCAACATCATTAGTCAGAAATGCAAATCAAAACTACAATGAGATACTACCTTACACCGACTAGGATGGCTAAAATTAAAGACAGACAATAACAAGTGTTGACATGATGTGGAGAAATTGGAACATTCATACACTGCTAGTGAGAGTGTAAATGGTACAACCACTTTGGAAAACAGTTTGGCAGTTCTCAACAGATTAAACGTAGAGGTACCATATGACCCAGCAATTCTACTCCTAGGCATACACCCAGGAAAAATGAAAATATATGTCCACACAAAAATGTGTACATTTATGCTAAGTGAAATAAGCCAGTCACAAAAGACCATTTATTATATGGTTTCATTTATATGAAATGTCCAGACTAGACAAATCTACAGATTAGCATCTGCCTAGGGTAGGAAGTGGGGAGGGGACAGGGAGGATGGAGAGTGATTTCTAATGGGTACAAGATTTCTTTTTGAGGTGACAAAAATATTCTAAAATTAGATCTTGGTGATGGTTGCAGAGCTCTGTAAATAGGCTTCAAACCACTGAATTGTACACTTTAGACGAGTGAACTTTATGGTATATAAATTATATCTCAGTGCAACTTTGAAAAAACAAACCTGGTAGGAAGGTTGTGGGAGAGTCGCTAACTCTCGCTCACCTCACACTCTCTCAGTGGTTTCTGACACCTACCGAAAGGAAGCGATAGCTATGCATGACCAAGCTGGCTTAGGTCAGTTTGCAAGACAAACCACCTTGCCTGCTTCTGGTGTGTGCCATTGTTTTTTCTAACATATGCTGTGGGGGTTTGGTAACTATTGTGGGTAGCAGATATACAGGGGTTATAGTGAGGTTTCCTCTACTTCTCTGAGAATTTGAAGCTCAAGAGGCCAGACAAAATATAAAATATTATCATAATGAGGAAAGCAAACATATGCAAAAACAGCATGGAGAGTAATGAAGGCTCCTCAGCCAATACTGGCAGTATAATCGGTGGTTAGGACCACATTTTCCTTCTCTCTTTTTTTTATTGTGGTAAAATATACATAACATAAAATTTACCTTTTTAACCATTTTTAAGTGTGATTTTAAGTGTACAGTTCAGTGTCATAAAGCACATTCACATTGTTGT